ATTGAACTTCAACATCTTACCCCTATACACCCGTTACCCTTGCTTCCATAATTTTTAGGCAAAATAACGTAAGTGATATTCCAGACTATAATATATGTATGTCTGCACCAAATGTCATTCAGAACAGTTCAGCAATTTTATAATGACTGATTTTTATAATTAAACATGGACCTTACTCGTATTTGATTCTAGACTCTGTTACCCCACATCTCGTTCGGTGTTATTCTAAAAAACTTAACAATCCCATTGAGTTGCAAAGGCTATATCCGGAGCGAAAGTATCCTCTATTAAACTTGCTCTGCTTTTGTTTCTGTCGTGAACGTAATTGTATTCAGAGCCCGACCGTCCGCTTGTAACCTTTTGCAGTCTTTTTTCTGTAGTTCAATTCCTAACCCAGTCGGGATTTTAATAATTAATCCGTAATGAAGTTGAGCTGCTCTCCGTTTACTTTTATACTCCTCTATTTGTTTAACGAAGGAACTCTACTTTCTACTGCGGCCGGAAATGCTTCTGCTACCTGAAATCAGGCATTTGTATACTTAGTTAAGCGTCCACCGGGGTCGGTAGTAGGAGGGACCGCAAACTTTTTAAAATGCTATACCACGGAATGTAGATTAGGAGCAGCATTTGAAATCATCATATAAAAAGGGAGTCAGAAGCCTCAAGGGGCTTCGATAGCCGAGTGGTTAGCGCGTCGAGTTGGCAATCGGACGACATGAGGCTCGTGGGTTCGAATCTGCACCTCCGAACTAAATTACCAGCAATGGACGTTGTGTTGTCTATACCAATACCATATCGGTACAAAGTTATCGACAGGTACATCGCATCGCTGGAGCTGGTTTCTTCAATAATCAGTTACCAGTAGATGGCTTGTGGAGTAGTATAGTGCTGACACTACGGGGTCGACAAAAAGGGTCAAAGGGTGCCTAGTTGTCAGGCTTCGCCTCCCCACTACTACTACTTCTACTACTTTTTTTTTCTTGGGGGGAAATCGCCAAGAGGTACCTGAGACCGGATATCTAGTATCCGCATTCGTGAAAGCACCTGTGCAGACTGCAGCTGGAAAATGTAGTTTTCAAATTGCTTGCGTTGATGTTTAGAAACATAAAATGAACAAGTTGGTGCAAAATGCTTCCATAATATTTGTTAATTCAATTGAACAATTAAAGAGGAACCCTCTATATACAATGTAAACAGGAAAACTCGTGTGGTGGTCGCCCCAGGCACTTCCCCCGAACAATATTATGTCGCACGGCCTTTCTGTTTACGTTACTGGTGAAAGCAATCCGACGCACTGCTTTGTTATGCGCCGGTGCCGATGTCTACCGACAACTAGCTTTATTACTCTATGTGCCTAATTCGTAATCAGCAACGTTATATGACACGTCATGACATTATCCTGTACAACAACAGTTGAGTATGTTATAACTGTTGTTCTATTATGTATGTATCGAAGAAAGAGACTAAACTAAAACAGTGATCATCGCGTGATTATTGCATGATCAGTACACTGATAAAACAGTGATGAAGCGTGCTTTGAAAAAATACTTTACTACAGAACAAATAACTTTTTGCAAAGAAATTCATTTTCTTTTAAGCTAGTTGATTTAGATGTGATTAAAACTGTTATCTGCAGTATAAAATCCAATGCTTCCGGAACGGATGGTATCACGTTACAAATGTTAAAGTTATGCTTTCCAGTAATTGGCATTCATCCGCTACATGTTATTAATATTTGCTTGGAAACTGGATACTTTCCCGACCTTTGGAAGACAGCTCTGGTGACTCCTCTGCCAAAATTGTCTAATCCGATATCCATCGCTGACCTCAGACCAATAAGCATATTGCCAATAATGTCTAAAATTTTAGAACGAGTAACTTATACACAGATTCTAGATCATCTCAATGCACATAATATAATCCCCACCCATCAATCAGGCTTTCAGAAAAACCGCAGTACAACTACAGCCTTGTCTTATCTCATTGATAGCATCATATCTTCCATCGACCGTAAAAACATGAGCTTGCTGGTACTGTTAGACTTTTCCAAGGCCTTCGATACGCTTAACCATCGACTGCTTGTTGCCAAGTGCCACTACTATGGCTTCGATGAAGTTGCCTGCAACTTTATTAGGTCATATTTAAGGGAACGTAGGCAAAAAGTAAATATCAATAATCAAATTTCGACATCAAGGTACATTCAGTCAGGTGTTCCACAAGGCTCAGTACTGGGACCATTGATGTTTTTACTTTACACTGCAGACTTACATGATAACTTCAAGAATACACATGCTCAATTTTTTGCTGATGATACGCAGATGAAGTGTGATTTTAATGCCGACAATGTCCAGGAGTCCATGATGCTAGTAAATGCGGATCTGGATAGTGTTAATAAGTACTGCAGCTCTCACAACTTGAGACTAAATCCCTCAAAATGTTCTGCTATATTATTTGGCAATAAAAGATTATGTGAAAACCTTAAACCATTAATTCACATCAAAGTTAATGGGGAGGAAATTATTTTTTCTGAAATAATAAAAAATTTGGGCATTCACTTTGACTCGGACTTGCGTTTTAACTCCCATCTGAATAATGTCTTGAAAAAATGTTATCTATCCCTCAGGCTTCTATTTGCAAACAAACATATTCTGCATAGAAACATCAAAATTAAATTGTGTCAAAGTTTAGTTATTTCTAAAATGTTATATGGCTTATCCATATATTACCCATGTTTGACGTCTATTAACGCAAAACGTTTGCAGATAATGCAGAATACCTGTGTACGGTTTATCGAGGGCCTAAGAAAGTTCGATCATGTATCACACTTGTATCGTAATCTTGCATGGCTAAGCGTTCAAAACCTTTTCAAATACTCCATTATCAGCTTTACTCACAGGATCATACTAACATCATCCCCTCAATACCTCAGCTGTAAACTTGTTCCAAGGGCGTCTGTGCATAATCTTCAGGTTCGTAACCGTGACACCTTAACTATGCCAATACACCGCACATCACTTTTTAGACGAACTTTCACAAACAATGCAATTTTATATTACAATAGCTTAAGCCAGGATCTGAAGACTATCCAGTCCTCCCGGAGTTTTAAAACTCAGTTAAGAAGATATTTACAAGAATTGCAAAACAACCGCTAGCTTAAGAAGTTCTTTCATTTTCATACTTTTTGTATTTTTCGTTAATTATTTTTCCGTTTCTTCATAACCTATTATCTCTTCTTCTTTTTATAGCTAAATTGACACAAATAGTCCTATTATAATGTAACCTATTATCTCTTCTTCTTTTTATAGCTAAATTGACACAAATAGTCCTATTATAATGTAACCTATTATCTCTTCTTCTTTTTATAGCTAAATTGGCATAAATAGTCCTATTATACTGTGACTTAATGTTTGTAGTTTCACATTTTTTTTTTGTTTGTTTTTGTATAACTTGTTTTTTTTTTCACTTTTGTACGGGGTTAGATGGTGGAATAGCAGGTGCTAAATCTCGCCCCATGTAATGTACCATGTTTTTGGTCAATAAAGACGATTATTATTATTATTATTATTATTATTATTATAATTATTATATATTTCAACAGAGCCTAACCGTTATTGGGCAGAATAGGTCGAGCCCTAACACACAACCAATGACAAACCAGAGGGTGGAGTGGGAGACGATACGACCGCGCATGCCGGCTGTCGTGGCTGGCCGTACAGTACAGAGTTGGCATCAGATTTATACTGGTATTACTGTGTGCTTATCAGATTTGCCAGTTTAATTTCGTAGAACTCAAAATGTCTGATACGGATACAGCTGATGAAGTTGTTGATATTAGCTGCACACTGCCTAAAAAAAGTGCTAAAAGGCTTCATTTTAGCGTTAGCGAAACACAAACAATTATCAACATTTATAAATACGAAATGCAAGGAAGGAGTCACTCAACTGTTCAGGACATTGTCTGCAAAGATGACACCTACATATTTTTCAGTGTTTGTAAGACGAGGAATTTCAACAAAAATTATATTTTATTTTAGTTTTTGTACATGCTTAAACTATATCGAGATAAGAAATCAAGTAATCATTTTGTTGGGTTTTTAATGCTTTCAATAGGAGCGGTTTCAAAGTGTCCAAAATGAAATATTTTTCTCTACCGAAGCTTGAAGATAATTCGGTTATAGTATTAAACAATGCTTCATTCCACACGAGAAAATCAGAGAAAATTCCAACAACGTTAACAAAACAATCAGAAATTCAAGCATGGTTTAATAATGAAAAGACTGATTATTATGATACAATGGTTAAGGCAGAATTGTTTGTCAAGACGCATAAAAATAAATATAACCTGAACATAATTGATGAAATGGCCAAAAACAAAATAGAACTGTTTTACGACTGCCTCCTTACCATTGTGAGCTCAATCCGATTGAGCTCATTTGGGCAGACATAGAAAATATGTTGCAGCAGAAGAAAAATGTTTCAAATTTTCTGACCTCAAAATACATTTCGAGTATAATTTCTTGATAAAACACTTCTACTGAAAACAATAATAGACAGTTGTTTTTTTGGCATGACAGTTAAATTAAAAAAAATATATTAATTCCAAGCTTTACGTTTGGACCCTATACATGCCTGTAATAATTTTGCATACTTTTTGATCGTCATAGAACCACAAATCATTTATTCTTAGTACGGCCCTGTAACGTGCTGGAGCGCGATCCCGTGGAGTATACGTGAATATGTTTAAAGTTTGGTCTCTTTCTTCGATGGATACATAATACCCGTTTTACAGCCAGCGGAATGTTAATCAGATTCATATACGCACCAACAAAACAGCCGATTCTCCCTGTCATTTTCTAAGACTGCCGGATCCTTGCATGGAAATCAATCAGTTGAATTTTTAATTTTCTGTAATTTTGGTAAAATAGTAACTCACAAGTTACCAGTGCATGCAAATGTCCCTAGGTCCCTAAGTAGTTTATATGGTTTTTAATTGTTTACAGAATTGTTTGATGGTGTTTGAAATGAAGATAGTCTTTACATTAAAATCATGTGTACTGAAGGGTAAAAATCCATCTGATAGGTGATAGGTGATTGGAGACTGTAGAACGGTTCTTATAGATAACAAAAGCTTGCAATGTGGCGGAGGAGTTATGAATAAAAACAAAGGAGTTGTAGAGTGTTCCTAAACTCAATTTTCATAAGGTTTACAAGTTTCCGATCTTCTAAAGAGATAAATATTTTGAAATATTTACGATGTTGGATATCTAATTACCTATAGTTGCAGTAAAATTTCTGTCAGCACCTCAATAACTCCGAAATTTGGCAAAGTTCGTTATTTGAGTTAATCACCTATATTGATGATGATACCTATTTAAAGCGCATTTTTACGGAGGATTTTCGATTTGTACGTATGTAACTTTGAAATGTGGAAAGAGACTAGGAGCCAAGGAGCCAAAACATTATTGACATTCATCTTCCACCTTATTTTATATAAAAGGATAGGCAAACAAAAACTACATACCTAGGTTGTCTACATGCATTTCCTAGTTAATAAGAATGAAAATTAGTATTATTGATAAATCCGGGAGACAAACTTAAGCCCCTTTGGTTTAATGACGGTAACCTGCAAAACTGGATATTTACGAATCAGACGTGAGAAGCAGAAATCCGTTTTAAGCCTACAAATTGTTGGTACGTCCGCAACAAGCCTCATTTGCAGAGAGGAAAACAGACGGATCCGACAAAAACGAGCCGCCTAAAGACGGGAAATTTATTTGGAGAACTCGCTGGGTGGCGGACTAACAAGTCCCGCAGGAACAGGGGACTCGTTCGCTAAATTAAGGTCCCTCTACGGGACGCGTGAAATATTCGCCACAGTCATGCAGGATGCTCTGAGAATATGCAGTTGCCTCGGATGTGTCATTACTAACTGGTGTGGTGGAGTGCCAGAGGTAGGAATTTTTATTGCTCCAAGTAAATTACGCCAAATATCTAGTATTTACCAAAACTACTATGTATATGAAATTTTAAGATAAGAACACAGTGATAGTAATTCATAGATGCAACACTTTGTTGTTTGCGTTTTTTCTGAAGACGGTGGTGGAGGTTTTTTATTACAGGTATAATGATACCATACCGACGTCAATCAATAGATCAATATAAAAGATATTGCAAGAACAGTAAAATACAGATCATTGTCAATAATTGCTTATATCTACGTCTAAAGCAAATCACGATGAAACTTGATAATACTATAGTTCTTAGAAAACAAAGGTATTTTCCTAGATTCCGTTTCGATCATACGGTACACGTACTTTTGTCTAAACTACCTCCTTGGAGTTGTGTTATAGGATGTAGCACTCATTATAAAATTTTCAGACAAGGTGTGTACTATGCCAATGATGAAAAAGCTTTGTGGTTTTTGAAAATCGCTGGCGGTGAAAAATGCCGAAAACGGATGTTTGAATACTGTATTGTAAACATTTCTTCCACCACAGTGGCCTTCTTTAGTACAATAACATTTGAAGGGTTGAGTGGATAATGGTGGTAAGTCACCTTTAGGTTAAAATGATTTCAGCATGTTTGGTGAAGCTTATAAGTGATATTCTGTCTGGAAAACTGATTGTTAACAATAACAGTTATTGTACACAGTAGGACCAACCTGTTTTTCGGACACAGTACTACTTCTAGGCTTCGCCAAATATATTAAACTCAATTTTTGATCCAAATGCTATTCACCACCTTCATCCCCTTCATCCAGTGAACTCGTCGTCAGAAAGTGACGTCGATTCTATCTCACACTTCGCCCATAAATTCAACGGACTTTTCACGTCGAAATGGGCCGTGAATACTTCGTAGATAGGTACGTTAATTTCACGTGAAATATACAGTCCTTGCTGGCTGGGATGTCACTCTGCTGTCAATCAATCCTTTGTCTTCTAGCTTTCATTGCTTAACGTTTTGAAATACGTGAAATTTAGTTACTTTATTCAAAAGTTTGTAATGAAAGTCCTGACACGACCACACTGTATAAATGTTGCTAGCAAGACCGAGTGTATAACCATTAACCAAACTTTAATAGCTTGATACTACAGGTGAATTGGTACATCTGCTGACAGCGTACATTGCATACACATATTGAGAATAATAACCATGTTATTAGAGAATCTTGGCAATTTGAAATACCCCATACATGAACGATGACATTAGGCTATAATTAGACATTTATCATTTCACTTTAAGGTCAAATGAAGTTAATTCATCGCTCACGTACGCGGTATTCACCCTATTTCACGAGTACCTGAACAGCTGATCAGCTAGTGACATTCTTGTGTTAGTCTGAATATGCTGCCAATGAAGTATGTCTATTGGCTGTGCCCGATGGGTTATTTTTATGTTGTGCTTTCTGAAGAGAGGTTATGTTCAAAGTTATCAGTTACGAAAAACAGGAGAATCATCACCGCGTCCGCGTTGTGTGTAATTACTGTTAGCATGAATATGGCTTGTAATTCGACAGTGTACAGTGAATATAATTATTTCTTATCTCTCTCATTTTTGATATTCAGCAAATTTGTATATGTAATTTCCAGAATGGATAAGAAAAAGTGGATGCGCAATGGGCAAACATGTCAGATAGCAGGTATTGTCAGATGTCCGACGGTATGTATAGCACCACTATACTAGTTGAGATGATCCAAGGTTGCGGAGCATAAGCGAGGATCAAAAACTTCGCACGCATTCGGAATAACCATATTATTATTAAAGCCAGCGTAACGCGAATATTAGAGTAGAATTCGAATTATGGGATGAAGGAGTGTATGTTTCCGGCATAACTGAATCTTGTGATGCTCGTGCGTGGACGTTTATGGCAGTAATGAAATTCTGGGTAATGATGCATGTTAGCAATGCTGCTCTGCTCCAGTAGTGTAGTTGGGAATAACTGACTGTGCATGATGTTGGGTGAACGTTGAATATAATGCATTTCTAGCTCAGACAGTTAGGTAGAAACTAGTAAATTCCACAATTCAAGGGTGTAAGCTAGGAGAGCCTTCTCCTGAATTTGCAGCTCTCACTGTGCAAACTAGGCTGACACATTCGTAGAGAGAATGCTAGGATGCGGTTAGACGAGGCGAAAACCTTGCATTCCTGAAAGGAATTTTCCAAATCTATTTTTTTATAATCACGTTTTTTAAACTCCACTTATCATGAATTAAGAGGTCTTCGGGTGGCAACCTAGACCAAATTATGTTTAAACAGTTTTTTAGGTAGTCATTAATTAATAACATAAGGCTAGTAATTTTTAATAGATTAACTTGGAACAGCACAAAACTCTTGTCTGAATGTAATTTACCTTAAGCTGATATTATACCCATCTGAATTTGATTTTCTAGGAAAAGATTTACAAAAATTATATAGTAAAAGCATTATTGTACAACAAACCAACATAAAAACAAAAATTGAATGTTGTACAAGTATTATGATTATATCGCTAGGTACCAAAACTCTCAGATTAATTTACTTACCCCAAAGAAATAGATCATGTTAAATCGTTTTATCTACCAGGCTCTTCTATTATACACATCCAGTGCTTCTCTTTAATGCCATCTCCCCTTTGATTTTTTGAACGATAATGAAATTGATGCGTGGATACCATATTTTAGAGTAAAATTGACAGATGAAGAATGTCAAGATGGCCGCTGGAGGCCATCTTGAAAAAAAATTATATGAAAACGGGGGTGTTGTGGCACACCATTTTAAAGCTTCTGACGAGTACATTATAACCCTAGCATATAAAGTCAATACCTTTACTCACTACAAAATGGTGGTACATTTAATAATTACTTGAACACAAACACACTAATATGCATATCTCTACAAATTATTGTAATTCCCTGCCCTATCCACAGTAACAGCGATAAAAACTTGTTTTGTTATTTTTGTTGACAGTGATAAGAATATCAGTACGGAAACAAACATCATTGTACAGTTAAAATATTCTTATTTAGTTTTCGGTTTTAGTGCTAGATACTATTTGAACTATTTTTAAAATGGTCAATTTCTCTATTTTTATTTATGGTGCGACGTGAAACTTTCACAAGACCGAAAGAATTTTTAATGATCGTTTCCCGAATCGTCCCTTTTGTAGAAAATATTTAAGGAAACTTGTATCTAAATTTACAGCTACTGGTAGTGTAAACAACAAAAAGCCTCCAGGTCATCCGGCCATCCCGGAAGAAAAGCAAGTTCAAATAATTGATGAGATCATAGTAAATCCCCAACAGTCTACTACCGCAATCGCGAATGTATGTGAGGTTTGTCCTTCTACTGTATGAAGACTTTTGAAAAAGAATAAGTATCACCCATACAAAATTCAAATGGTACATTAGCTAACTGAAGATGACCCTGAACGAAGCACAGAATTCTGCGAGACTATGACGGAAACCGTTGCACGGCATCCTACCTATATCCAAAACATTTGTTAGTGATGAATGTAGATTTTTTCTCAACGGTAATGTGCATAGACAAAATTGTCGTTATTGGAGTGACACCAATCCTCACGTCTTCCGGGAAACTCATACTCAGTATCCAGAAAAAATTAACGTTTGGGCTGGGATATTGGGAAATAATATTGTGGGGCCTCTATTCATGCAAGACATTTTTCATCTGTCAATTTTACTCTAAAATATGGCATCCATGCATCAATTTCATTACCTCAAGTTTGAATTTTTTGAATTGATCCGTTCAAAAAATCAAAGGGGAGGGGGACATTAAAGAAAAGTATGAGTATACATACCAGCAAATGCAGTAACAATAGTTCGTTGATGCAAACTCCAAATTACAACGTGTTCGCAGAGTATACCGGATGTTTCAAATTCCATAAGGGTCTCGGAAACGGTGCAAGTTTCAAAATCCAAAGAACTTTCGGGGAGAAAAAAAACGGGACCTTACTACTTGTCAATAAAATTTTATTCTGCTTTCAATCTTGATATAAGACTACCTCATTGCGAAAAAAAAAACAAGTTGAAAGAATTATTTTTTTCTGGGTGTAACACCGAGTATTCTTTACTACTGGTTCGTGTAACTG